TGAAAGTCTTCTAGTCCACCCCATTGCTCAAGCAGGAAACCCTATACTGTTTCAGACAAGTGACTGCCCAGTCTTTTCTTAAAAACCTCCAATGTTGAAGCACCCACAACTTCTGGTGGCAGGTTGTTCCACTGGTTAATTGTTCTCACTGTTAGGAAATTTCTCCTTCGTTCTAGCTTGCTTCTCTCCCTGATTAATTTCCACCCATTTCTTCTTCTCCTGCCTTCAGGTGCTTTGGAAAATAGGCTGACCCCCACCTTCTTTGTGGCACCCCTGAAATATTGGAAGACTCCTATCATGTCACCCCTAGTCCTTTTCATTAAACTAGACCAGAGGCCTTCAACCTTGGCAACTTTAAGACTTGTGGACTTCAACTCCCAGAATTCTCCAGCCAGCCATGCTAAGTCCACAAGTCTTAAAGTTGCCAAGTTTGAGGACCCTTGCACTAGACCAGGGGTGTCCAACCTTGGCAACTTTAAGACTTGTGGACTTCAACTCCCAGAATTCCTCAGCCAGCTTTGCTGGCTGAGGAATTCTGGGAGTTGAAGTCCACAAGTCTTAAAGTTGCCAAGGTTGGACACCCCTGCACTAGACATACCTAATTCCTGCAACCATTCTTCGTATCTTTTAGCCTACGGTCCCCTAATCGCCTTGGTTGCTCTTTTCTGCACTCTTCCAAGGTGTAACTCTTCGGGGAAGGCTATAAACCATGGTTTGGCCTGCATCGAGGCAAGAATTTTCTGGATTCAATTCCCACTTGGACACCGCAGCCCCATTATTCTCCCCTCTGTTATCCTTCACCAGTGACTTGAATGCTCTTTTATTTTTTAGCTATGGGCAGAATACTTTCTTCCCAGCAGAACACGCCCTGCCTGACATGAGCCTCGATTCGCCTTCAGAGAAAGCATTGACCGAAGCAAAGGTTGCATTTTCAAAGAATTAGCGAGAGTCCCGTTAACTCCCCAAGATGCCTCAGACCAACGTATGCGTGGCATTTGCCACGCCGTCTGCCTATTTGTGTGTGGGTGCATGCCATTCCTGAAATTAAAATCAGTCGGTTTTTGGCTTTCCCGCATGCACATATGTTGCTACGTGCGTAGGTGTAGATCAGGGAGATAGGAGGATGAGAGCATCTGCGCCAGTCCTGCCAGACAGCCTGACCCACAGCTGTTTCTCAGATGCCCCTTGGTTGAACTTCTCCGTGCCCTGACGCTTCTTTCTCCGTGCAGGGAAGGAAACGTTGTGGAATGGACCGAATTTCATCAACCGCCACCAGGAGATGCACGATGAATAGGCAGCTTTCACACCAGGAAGCCAGAGAGGGGAACGTGCACCCATGTGTGGTTCTGCACGACACCATCTGAGAAGCTAATTCGAGGCCCCACATCTTGTGTCCTTTGGGGTTAGTGGTTTTCCTGGGGCCTCCTGAATTATCCCCCTGATTTGGAGCGCCTGTTTGATTCCAAGTTTGATTTTTATTGGCCAAAGCTATGTGGAGCTCTCAAATTTTTGCCCCCTTGGGGATATTTATGATCAGCGCGGTTCTCTTTTATTCAATGCTGTGGTTGGATCTTGATCTGCAGTGGGCGGGTGGCGCACCGTGTGGATTTTGATTATAGAGGAAACCAGGAGAGAGGATCAGGGGCTGAAGGGTGAACTCTGAAGAGTCAATCGCTACTGGAAGCTTTTAAGAAGAGAATTGGGCAGCCATTTTGTCTGGAGTGGAACTGAGTAGGGGGGTGGACTGGAAGACCTCCAAGGTCCCTTCCAGCTCTGTTCTTCTGTGATTCTGTTGGAATGCTGGATTTGCAAATTGCACCAAACTGTAGTTAACTCTAATCACATAGAGCTGAACTGCGGGGTGCCAGGTGCTCTCTGAGTTTGGTGGTTTTCATGCAGCCATTTCATTAGCAAATGATTATACATTATATATTAGCAAACTGATGATACTACCTAGTCTGGTAATGAAATGTCTGCAAAAAACACAGAACGCTCGGAGAACATCAAGGAAAACAGTCCTCCTCCTCCTCTCCACAAACCCCACTCTCTTTTAGCACTGAGGGTATTATCTAGCTGGGTCGTGAAATGTCTGCAAGAAAACAGCCAAGCTCTGAGATCACAAGAACCCCACTCTAATCACAGTTTGTTGAACAAGTTGCAGTGCATCTCTCTCTCTCTCTCTCTGTGGTATATACTTCATGTTCTCTTCTTATTTAGTCGACCTCTGAATATTTTGGTGTGTGTGTGTGTCTCTACATAATAGTAGAAATGACTTAAAGCGGGGTTTTGCCTGTGAAGGTTGCTTTTCATGCATTCTAAAGAATTTCCTTCTGGGGACATTGTGTCTTCCTCTTGATTGTTCTTCCCAGTTGTTGTGCAGTTCGGTCCCTGTGTAATGCCACATTCAGAATTTTCCAGCTCCGTCTTTCCCCAAAGATGTAGCCATCCAGCTGTTTCTTCAGAGCCTTCCATCCTGGCTGATAACCTGTTTCGGGGCCTCCAGTGAGAACTAGCATGACAAAATGTAGCTGAAGGGTGCAAGTAACCAAACAACAACTTTTAAAAAAAGAAAACAATTCCCAGCCTGAATTTCCACCTGCTCGCAGTAAGGTTTACAGTTCCTTAGAGACCTCGTCTGTTAGCGCAGAGGATAATTCTGTCTTGTTCCCTAAAAAAATAATATGACACTGACCTGGATTGAGAGACATACCATCAGAGGTTCAACTTGTGCAACACCCTCCTCCCTGCCTTTATTTATCCTCCAGAGCCAATCATGCGATGCGAAAGAGCATTTGGCAATCCTGCAGGCTGAACAAACATGCATTCATGTGCACCTCCCTCTTGCGTAACTGAACATGTTATGGCTGAGCGAAGGATCTTTTTTCCCTAAGTCCAAACGTACTACTCGTTCCCGATTCTCTCACAAGCGAAAGATACTCAGTTCTGAAGTGGGGGGGAACTGTGGCTTTAGGTGGTGGTAGTTACGCTGCCCTGGGTTGCCACCCTACCATTGTCCAGATGGAAAAGTCATTTCTTGGATATACCGAGCAAGTACGTGGCTGAGATGAGACGCAAGTCAGGCGTTTTTAGTTGACGGCAAGGGCATCCAACCTTGGCAACTTGCAAACTTGTGGACTTCAACTTCTAGAATTCCCCCAGCCAGCCTGAACCTCCGCAACGTTCACACAGGGTGAAGGTTTTGGACACCAAAGCAGCTTATTTGATGACAGTGCAAATGTTTGGGTGGCTGCTGCAGTGCAAATCAAGCATTTCTCGGTAGCTAAGAAAGCTTATTTCGGTAACTCTAACCTCCATGGCCCTGAGGAGATATTTCCACCAAGCCTCTTTGAAATTCAAGTCTTTGGATGTTTCCAGAATCCCTCAGGATAAGATTACTTTTTAAGGTTCTTGGGACAGACTAGAGTTCTCACAGCTCTCCTTGGAAATTAACTATTGGCCAAATGTCTTGGGCAGGATACAGTATTTTCCAAAATAGTTGGAGGCCACTCTACTGATACCAGGCCTTCCCAGACCACCAGTGGCAGGAAATCCGCAGGAGAGCAAACACCGCGATTCAAGGTTTACAACTTAATTTTTTACTAAGTTGAGGACAGCATGTGTGTCTGCTGTGACTAGTAAATGGAATCCAACTAAGCCTTTTCTTCCAATTGGAAATGTATTCAGGGCTTCTTTGGCAGAATATCTATTTAATTTGAGTAAAGCCACGCTTTCTAGTCTTCTTTTTCCAAACCACATGGACACAAATAAGATCACTTGGTCAACCAGAAGACCTGGCCATTTCCGCCCCCCCCATCCCTACCCCGGCTAAAAGGTGTCCCACAAAACCCCAGAAGCACCCCAAAAAAGTCTGGAGAGTCAGAGGAGCAGTTGAAAAGCCTTTAAAATCTTTGCATTGATTGCTCGCAGCTCAAATGCTGATTATCCTTACCCCAATAACATTATTTGGCTGAGTTTCACAGTTGTACATAGATAGGAAAGGTGACATGACAGAATAACGGAATTAGAAGGGACCTTGGAGGTCTTCTAGTCCAACCCCTGCTTGAGCAGGAGACTCTATCTCATTCCAAACAAATAATTATCCCGTCTCTTCTTGAAAACATCCAGAATTGGAGCATCCACAACTTCTGGAGACAGGTTGTTCCACTGGTTAATTGTTCTATCAGGAAATTTCTCCCTTGTTCTAGGTTACTTCTCTCCTTGATTAATTTCTTCTTGTCTTCTTGTCTTGCCTTCAGGTGCTTTAAAAACTCCGTTGACACCCCCCCACCCCCGCTCTTCTTTGTGGCAGCCCCTCAAATATTGGAAGACTGCTATCATGTCAGCCCTGGTCCTTCTTTTCATTTAACTCGTCCCACATTAAATTTGTCCTGCCTTGCTACACCGCGTTCTTTTGCTCAGCTTTCAGAAACCCTCACTGTGGTGAATAACTGAGTTGGAAGGGACCCTGGAGGTCTTCTAGACTAACCCCCTGCTCAAGCGGGAAGCCCCATATCATTTCACACAAACGTTTGTGCAGTTATTCTACTTAAAAGCAAGGCGCTCCAGGTAAGGCTCCTATAACACACGTTGGAAAAAAAACACCATGTTCCATCCTCACAGCAACTTTCGTAATTGCAATTCTCTCGCCGCGGGGCCTCCATCATGTTCCCCCAAATGCAAACACCACATCAGGGGGACCCACGGCTTCCTTTCGGCCGAGGGCTTGTCGGTAACCCGAGTTAAACCTTAAGAGGGCAAACCGCGGAGAATGAGACCGATTCCCTCGGGCGTTCCACACATACTTGGCCCTTCCTTCCAGTGACAGCTCTCTTGGCCAAACCCTCTGTAAAAATCTGAATTGTTTACACCCTTAGCCTTAAAACACACAAAAGGAGGAGGCACACTCAAAGCAATGTTTGGGTTAGGTAGCAATAAACGAGCTGTTTGATTCCAGGTGTTGACCCCCAAGGTTAAACTGAAATATAGATGAAGGGACTTACCACGAAGGGAGGCCGAACTCTTTTAACACCGGATGGTTTTCTTGCTCTGCCTTTGGGGCCGGATCACCTCTTCCAGTGCGTTTCTGCAGCCATTTTAGCATTCAGCACACCAAGCAAAGTCTGCGAATTCCTTCCAGGCAGTAAAAACCCCACATCTCCCTTCTTTCAGCTCTTCAAGAGTGGTTTCTTGTTTGCTCTTTCCTCCCCAGCTCTAAACTGGGTTTCATTTCCTCCTTCCTCCCCCACCCTTTTACTTTTGTTTTTATTTTTTTAGCTTGCTCCCCAAGAGTTAAGAGTCAGGTCAGGAAGGCATCCGGATGCTTCTCCCGCTCTGGCAGGTTCCTGCTTCCCAAAAAAACCAATTCTTTCATTGCTTTCGAAAAGAAGAAGAAGAAGAAGAAGAAAGGGAGGAGGGTGGAAAAAGAGAAGGAGAAAAAAAGGGTTTTTTCTTTTCCTCCGCTGGACGGGCAGTTCAGCCAGGCCGTTCCTCTTAACCAAATCTTCAGTCAAGCGGAAAGAAAACGTTCGAAAAGAAGAGGGGGGGGGAGGGAGAGAGAAAAACACCAGATGGGGGGTGAGTGGAGAGAAACTTTGCAGCTCGGGCAAAAGCGCACAGTTTCAACTTTTCCAGGAGAGGAGAAAGTGGGAAGCCAAGCCAAGGGGAAACTGGTGGAGAATGGGAAGGCGGTGGGGGGGGGGTCTTCCCCCAGCTGGGCCCCTCGCCCGACTGTTTTTTGTGTGGATTTCAGTCACTGGAGGCTGGGTCAGATCTCGGAAGAAACCCTGGCTTTCATTAAAGAAACGAGCTCAGTCACGCTGCCGCGTATCCTTGGCAGGCAGCCGCCTCTCTGTGGTCCCCCCTGCTCCTCTCCTTGGCAGGAGAGGTGGCCTTCTTCCCTTCCCTTCTTCCCTTCCCCACCCGAGGAGGGCTTGGAAGAACCCTCCTGCCTCCGCTGCTCTCCCCCCAAACCCTGAAAGCCTTCTCAAGCTTTGGACCCTTCTACCCGCCAACCCTGGGAACCCGCCTCCGCAGGAGTTTCAGGCCAGGCAACTCCTGGGTTGCCCCACTTAGGATCCAGGGCGACCGGCCACAAGGCAGTTGCGCAACCCGGCGCGGATCCAGGCCAAGCACGTAGTCTTCCCCCCACCCCACCACCCCCGGCTTCCCTATTCAAATGCTCGGATGCTCGGACCCGAGAGCCGGCCGCTTCGTGAAAGCAGGGAGAGTTGGGTTTGAGAGTTGGGTTTGGGCCAAGAGCGCCTTCGATGGTGGGGCACGTTGCCCGGCTCTCGGTTGAGCCTCCTTCCGGGGACAAACACAAAGGGGGGGGGGGAGACACCTTCTGCAGACACCCAGAGGGGCCAATATTGGGAGGCTTTGGAGTGGCAGGACTGTTTTGCAGAATAAGGCATCTCAAGTCGAATGAGTTCAGTGTAGAGACTGGGCTGAATGACACCACCCAATTCTTTCTTGGGGACAGTAGGAAGCAGTTGACATGTTTGGTTAAGCCTGTTTAAACAATCTGGGACATCTTCTTTCTCCTTCCGCCTCCCGCTCCCTGCAAACCCCACTCCCTTCTAGTACTGATGATGTTCCCTAGTTGGGTAATGAAACTTCTGCAAGAAAACAGCCAAACTCAGAGACGATTAAGTACCCTAACACCATTCCTCCTCCTCCTCCTCCTCCTCCTCCTCCTCC